TTGACTTGGAGTTACATTGTGTTGTTTAAGTGTTCCCTTTATTTTTTTGAGCAGTGTACATATAGATTTAGTGATTTTGCTTTTATTTAAAAAAAATTCAGGTTACTATTATGTTTACTGCCTCTTTTAACTTAATCTAGGATGGGTAACCTTGCCCAGAAGGCTTCATGTGGTCCCCAGTACTCCTATCTGCAGCCCCCCAATAACCCACAATCATGCCAAAATTTAGTGACATTTAGCCAAAATTTAGTCAAGGTCTAGTGGCACAGTTAAAAAAAAAGCTGGTATGAGAATATGTTGCCTCTGATTAATTTCTGTCTTTATTTCTACCTTTGAAACCTTTCAAAGTCTGTGGAAACCTCAGCCATTTTCCTTCCAAATTTTGACCGTATAACCTAACAGCTGTTTTGTGAGAATTTTAAGGATGGAAATGGAAGCGTTTCAGATGCCAAAATGCCAAATATTTCCATTTACACCAAAAAAATCCACCATAGGCCCTTTAAAAATGTAAACAAATAAACAAACATCAACCTGATTTTTGCTACAAGCGCTCAGCACTTCCAGAATGTCAGAAGGCCAAACTGGAAACTAGTTCATTATAGTTTGTGTAATCTCTTCTCTAAAAAGAACAATACTTCGTGTGTGTAATATCGGATCTCTATGTTCTAGATGGCTAACAATCTCATAAAATAAAAACTTGAACATTAAGGTTCAAGAGGAATCCCCCCCCCAATGTACCAAAACATAGATTGACATTAGAATTAGAGCTGACCAAATCACAGTAGGATTTCCAAAATACAGTGATAGCTATCAGAAAATCACCCTTCCAGTGGCAATCTTGTAAGAATAGATCATATGGCTGAGTTGATTTGATCATGGTTGAGTTGAGTGGACAGGCAGATGAATACAAGTGAAGACAGTCGCTTAGAGTAGAGCTATTTAGGACCTTAATGACAGCATCCAGCATCTTGAATTGCATCTGGAAGCAAACTGGCAACCAGCTCAGCTCTTCAAGAAGCAGGGTCACCTAGGTGTATCAGGTTATATGTATCTTCATCAGCTATTGATTCCAAAATTTCTTCAAGAGCAGATCCAAGGTGAATGAATTACCACAATGGAAAGAGGAGATAACTAGCATACAAGCGACTGCCCAATCCAGGAAGGTCCCCAAATGGTGGGTTGGAGATAAAAATAATGCAAAGGCTTTCCAGTCACAAAACCTCCAGATTGTGAACTACCTTTGAATGGGAGAAGACAACTTGGTTCATTACTCTCTGTCTCAGAGAGAGTCAATCTGAATCTGTTCTTCTAGGGACTGAGTGAGAGGTTCTCACATTGCATGTATGACTCAAGGCCCAAATATATGGCTATCAGCTTTTGAATGCTGGGGTATCATCAGCATTATTTATTAAAGCTTTGGCTCAATATATCTATACAATTGTTATATTGAGTATTGTTATACTGGGAACTGTTGCTTTCTGTGGTGATTGTGCCCATCAGGGACAAAGATGTTAAGAGAGATGAATGTATATTCTATATGATCTCCCCTTTCCAAAATGAAGTCTAACTTTCCTCGTCATAGAGGCCCTTCAGATGGGGTTTATCTTTCCCCAATAGGAAATGAGATACTTTAAAAAGAGCTGCTAGGTGGCATTTGGCAAACGCAATCAAGACAGCAAAATATCTCCTACTATTTGAATCACAACTATGTAGATTCAAATGCCATCTGGTCAGTTACATCATCCAATCAGACTTGTGATGGGTCTTCTTCCAGCAGTATTTACTGGTATGTCCTGCTTCATCTCCTTGAGCTCCTCAATAAGTCAAGAATTTGCAGTGAATCTGCAAAAAGGAAATTTTTAGCTTATTTGTAGTAATAGCAATACCAATATTATAATGCTCTCCAAGCGGTTTACAGAGTCAGCATATTGCCCCCAACAATTTGGGTCCTCATTTTACTCACCTCAGAAAGATGGAAGACTGAGTCAACCTTGAGCCTGGTGAGATTCGATCTGCCAAATTGCAGGCAGCCGGAAGTCAGCAGAGGTAGCCTGCAGTACTGCACTCTAACCACTGCGCCACCGAGGCTCTTGTAGGTAGTCTCCTCTC